CGTGATTTGAGCATCTTCATTCTTTGCCAACATTTCAATCTCAGCATATCCAAAACTAAATTTATCTCCCCCAACTCTGTGCCAATTCCACAAACATCTCTTTGAGTGACCCAAACTCTCCAAACTGGCTCTCCCTCTTGCATTGCCAGTGTCTTCAGTGGTATCACCCATTCTCCTTTGGGACACCCACGCGAGTCCCTGGCCATGGAATCCTCCCACTAGGTTTTTAAACACCTTTCCGTGCGTCTCCTTCCATTCCTGTTGCAGCCACCATGGGCAGCTGTCCCCTGTCACTTCCCTCCTGGACGACTCTGTCTCCTTGCCGGGCCATCCGCTTACAGCCTCTTGTCCCTTCAGTCTGTCCCATGTTCAACCACCTGATCAAGTTTGCCCTGTCACTTCTCCTGCTCAAAAAGCTTCAGTGGCAGCTCGTAAATGGCCATGATTAAATGAGGTGCTAACTTCCTATCCTGGCACAGGGATCCCTCCTTAATATGATCCCAATCCATCCGTCTTCCTGTTTGATTCATATATCCCACAACTTCCTAATGAATATCTCTCGCTCCTGCCAAGTTGGCGTCCGTACCAATCCCAGGACATGCCCTGTGTCCTTGGGCCTCCTTCACCTCCTACCTGTGTGATCTTGGACAATTTGCTCAACCTCTTCCACCACAATCCCTCATCTACGAAGTGGGGTAACACTAACGATGCCATCTCTATAGGACTGCGGAGAGGACAAAGCAGATGCAGGAACGGCCCATATCATTTGTCTGCTCACTGTTTTCTTTTTTATTTTAATTTTTTTTAATTTTTTTTTTTAGTCAGAGTCTCTGTTGCCCAGGCTAGAGTGAGTGCCGTGGCATCAGCCTAGTTCACAGCAACCTCAAACTCCTGGGCTCAAGCGATTCCTGCCTTAGCTCTCGAAGTAGCTGGGACTACAGGATGCACCACCATGCCGCTAATTTTTTCTATGTTTTAGTTGTCCATTAATTTACTTTCTATTTAGTAGGAGACCGGAGGCTCGCTGTTCGCTCAGGCTGGCTCTCAACTCCGACCTCAAGTGATCCTCCGGCCCACCCCAGAGATGCTAAGATTACGGAATAGAGACCACAACTGACCCAAGCTGCTCACTGTTATAAATCAACTGGCGGCCTAGAGCATGCGGGCAGGGACAGTGAAAACTCAAATGTGCACTGTCAGCCCAGATGGTCCAGGCAGAAAGAAGATTAAAAAACAATGCCAAAGATAGGAAGGACAACTCAAGGAGCATAGCGACGTGATGCAGTGGGCCATGGCTAGGCGAGCTCAGATGAGGAGCCATGGTCAATTAAACATAATCGACTGATCCAATACACACATTGAATTATCAGGGGCATGAGAGAGAATTCATCATGCACAATCAGCTGAAGTTCTTTCTAGACAAGGAGGAAAACAGAAAATTACCAGTCTCATAAAAGGACAGAGCACAGATATCAGGGGTGAGAGAGACGACCCCCTCTGTCCAAGAGAGAGTGGCAGGTGCACAGAAGGAAAAAGAATTAGGAATAAGCAGCCATCCAATGAGAGACAAGATAACCACAATTAGGGATAATGCAAATCTTTATGATCTAGCAGAAAACACCAAAATAATTTTGCGACTATATCGTAGACCTCCAACGCTTATATACTTTCATTTGTCCAAAGATTGCTTGGATTGCTGCCACAAATGGTGACTTGACTTTTCCCTCTTGCTGGGACTAGTCATGACGTTCCAAGTCAATATTAAGCTATCTGAGGGCAAGACTCCTATCTACAATATACAATCTTCTTGTTCCTCCCACGGAGGTTTACACATTGTGAACTGTCCGTGAATAGGCAGCACTCGATTTATTTTCTTCTGACGGCCCTGGCACGGGGAAGGAAAGAGAAGAGTTGCTTTTATTGAATTTTTGTACAGACGAGAGGCCCTCTGGGCTCGGGGAAAACACAGAGAAACGGCCCCTTTGTTCTCCGGGCCTGCCCAGCGCAGCGCCTTCCAGAAAGGGCAGCTCTGAGGAGGCTGCAGAGCGCGGAGGGCGGGGAGGGCGTGTTGAGGAAATTCCATTCGAGACCCTCATTTCCGAAACTGCTCTGTGATTAACCCGGCTTTGTGCCAGCCCAGTCCAGAGGCAGAGAGAGGCCAGCCCTTGGGTCATAAAAAGCGCCAGGAAAATACAAGCGCAGGCCCCTTTACGGCCCCAGCAGCAGGTTAAAGGATTTGCTTTCTTGTCTGTTTATCTCTCAGACTGAAGCCAATTATCCCAATTACTTCTTTTTAAAAAAAAAAATGTTTACTGGAGATTATATTTTAAATTCATTTCTTCTCCCGAACAGGCCACTACAGCAGTTTTTCCTTTGGTCTCAAGGACTCAGGCCCAGTCTCTGTGGCAGGGAGGGTGGCCCTGGGGTCACATGTCTGTCCCAGGGTGAGAGGAGGTCAGGGGCTGCCTAATGGTTCCCAAATGGGCTTGCAAGGAGCTGTAGATTTGAACTTTGCATTGCTGCCGGGGCCTGGGGCCTTCTCAGGAGGGGGGCGGTGGGGGAGAGATCTCTGCGGTTCAAAGGCGGCTGCTCTGGTTTCAGTGGCTTAAGGTTTCAGTAACAAGCTCAACCCCCCCTGGCCTGGCCTCGTGTGCAAGGAGGCAGGGGGTTGGTACCGGGATGGGCGTTCTGTGTAAGCTGAAGCTGCAAGCCATGCAGATCACAGGGCCGTGGAGCTGGAAGACCCTCGGGGTTAGCGTCAGAGGCTGACAGCGCCCCTGACCACTTTGGGAAGCCCAGGAGCGTTGATTCACAGGCAGTAAAGGACGCTCCGGGCCCAGCGCCAGCCAGAGCGCCTGGCCGCCAAGCCCCTGGGGTGCTGTCAGTGTGCCCAGGTCAGAGTAGGTGGGTGCTGGGGAGTGTGAGTTGAAGAGGAAGTAAAAGGTCACAGACGGTCCCCCCAAAACAAGTATCTCCCCTGATACCCGAATATCCACGGTAAGTGTGATGTACATGTGTATTTACTGACATGGAAGGGTGTGTTAAGACTCAGTGAGGGCAAAAAGCAAGCTGCAGAATACAGCTGACCCTCAGACAACACGGGTCTGAACTGTGCGGGTTCACCTACCTGTAGATTTTCTTCTGCCCCAGCCACCCCTGAGCCCGAAAGACCAAGCCCTCCTCTTCCTCCTCCTCCTCAGCCTACTCAACATGAGGACGATGAGGATGGAGAGTTTTATAATGATCCACTTCCAATGAAATGAATAGCAAGTATATTTTCTCTGTGATTTTCTTTTCTCTAGCTTACGTCATTGCAGGATATGAAGTATAATACATAGAACTTACAAAGTTGGCTGTTCATGTTATCAGTAAGGCTTCCGGTCAGCAGGAGCTGATTGGTGATTAAGTTTGGGGAGTCAAAAGATAACCAAAGTCAAGAGAGGCCATGGCAGGAAGATCACTTGAGGCCAGGAGTTTAAGACCAGCCTGAGCAAGAGCAAGACCCCATCTCTATAAAAAATAGAAAAATTAGCCGGGCGCAGTGGCATGTGCCTGTAGTCCCAGCTACGCAGGAGGCTGAGGCAGGAGAACTGCTTGAGCCCAGGAGTTTGAGGTTGCTGTGAGCTAGGCTGAGCCACTGTACTCTACTTGTTGCCAGAGCGAGAACTGTGTCTCAAAAAAGAAACACACGCAGCAAAATAAGTTATGCTCAGATTTTTGACCACACAGGGTGTGGGTGTTGTTTCAAGGGTTACTGTATTATACAGAATATTGTCTCCGATCGTTATTACACGGGATGCATGTGTGTGCACATCCACAGGAGAAAGATGTGAAGGAATTACATCAAATGGTTCATAGTAGTATCCCTGCAGTTGGAATTCTTGAGTTTTTTTTTCGTTTTTTTTTCCAGTCTTTTTTTGGGAAATTGCCTAGTACACCTATTCTTTATGTAATTTTTTTCAAAGAAAAAAATCTAACCTTCGTGAATCGTTTCTTTAGTTTGGCATTTTCCAAAATGTGGTTTAGAAAACACTAGGATGAGACTCAAAGTTTGCTGAAAATGAAGATTCCCCAGGCACAGCTCAGACTTGTGGATCAGAATCCTGCGGGGAGGAGGAAGGCCTGAGGAACAGGGTTTGAAACACCCTTTTGGGGGCAATTCCAGTGTAATGAAATCCACCTGCTGTAGACTGAATGTTTGGGCCCCGCCCCCCATTCAAATGTTGAACATCCCAACCCCCAAGGTAGTGGTTTCAGGAGGTGGAGCTTTGGGCTTAGGTCGTGAGGGTGGGGCCCTCGTGAGTGGGATTAGCGCCCCTGTAAGAGAGACCACAGACCTGGAACAGGAGTCTCAGGTACCTGTAGGACGGTCACCTGAGCCCAGGAATTTGAGACCAGCCTGGGTGATACAATGAGACTCCGCCTCCAGAAAAATTAAAAAATTTTTGCAAAGAGAGACTCCAGAGAACTTTCTCCTTCTCGCCATGTGAGAACTTGTCTCACAGACAGCTGCCATCAATTCTTTCCTTCCTTCTCTTGGAGAGGAGGAGGAGGAGTCAGCGGTCTGTGGGCCGGAAGAGAGACCTCGCCAGAGCCCGGGGCCACACTGGCTGGCACCCTGGTGGCAGACAGACTTGAGCCCCCAAACTGTAAGAAACGAACAACTATTGCTTCGCAAGCCGGCCCATCTCTGGTGCTCTGTTACAGCGGCCTGCGCCACCTGCGTGGACGTTTGCCTCCTTCCCAGGCTCTGTCGCTACTGTGAGACGTGGCAGGTGTGACCACTCAACCCTGCCCTGGGCCTGCTTTCCCGGCCGACCCTTTCTGTGCCCTTTCTCCTCTCCCTGCCTCCTTTCTGTGCGTCCCCAGGAACGGGAAATGCCCTGTCAACCCCGACGGAGTAGACCAGGCCCTGCCCCTGGCCGGCAGTCCCGGGCACAGCTTCCCGGGATCAATGTCCTGCCCGCCCCTCGCCAGAGTCCTCTCTTCTGCTTCACTAGGCTCTTCCGGCTACGAGGACTGACCACACAGGTCTGCTGGCACAGTTGTGTAACCCAAGACTGAAGCTGCAAACCAAAGTAGCAATGCCAGCAGGCAGCAGGCAGAGCAGAAGACTCTCAGGGTAAGTCTGACCCTCTTCCTTGCTACTCATGTGATCCTAGGTAAGTTATTTAACCTCTCTGAGCCTTAGTGTCCTAGGTAAGGGTGTGCACCTTGGATTGCTTTTGATTAAGCTGTTTAACAACTCTGTAGGGATAGAAGTTAAGTTGTAGAAAACTGACAACATAAATTTTCCTTGTCTGTAGGAATACACAGACTGTTCATGGCAATGCAAAGGAATTGTGTCCTGTAAAGGATAAAAATCTCTGTAAGTTACATTCTCATAATGAACCAGTTTTCACATCTTACTGATTTCCACATTAACCAATGAGTTACGTAAATCTTTGACACATGTTCGTGTTATTTCTGTGTGAGAGTCAGGATTTTACTTTCTTGAAAATTGGGATTTAACATAGGTTTTAAAAAACCCACACAGAATCTTAGAGATTAAAAAATATATATATATATATATATATATATATATATATAATGATTTTTAAGGCTTAATAAGCCAGACAGCCTCTTCCACAACATTGTTTGTGCCACTCATTGTCTCGGAGCTAAGAGGACTACCATTTGCACATGCTTTATCAGCTCTAAGAGCTATTTTGCAAGCCTGTAAGTTTAGAAAACTGATAGTAAAAAATGACTCTTGCAAACACAAGCAAATGAATTCTGTCCAGTTGAGGTGCGGTTGATCCCTACCACCACCACTGCCCCTGAAGAAGCCAGTTTTGGATCTGTTACTACATTCACTCAGCATTCCTGAAATGACTAGGTATGTGGCTGCTCTTTGGCATCTCCTTCGAATTGGTCTTTAACACTTCCCTGGCTCCCATGTTAATTAGTGAGTTAAATAAAATCTTTGACACATGTCTATTTTATAGCTGTATGAAAGACATTATTTTCCACAGATGTAGCCAAGTATTTTAAAAATCTAAAAAAACAAGAGTTTAAAAACAAAAAAGAAAAAGATGAAAGTATAAGAATTTTTTTTAAAAGTCATTATTTAAATGATTTTACCTTATTTATTTATTTATTTATTTTTGAGACAAGGTCTCGCTCTGTCACCTGGGCTAGAGTCCAGTGGTGTCATCCCAGCTTACTGCAACCTTAAACTCCTGGCCTCCATTGATCCTCATGCCTCAGCCTCCAAAAGTGCTAGAATTACAGGCATGAATCATTGCATCAGGCCAATTTTACCATTTAAAAAAAAAAAGATCTGTTAACAACATCCAAGGGCTCTCATGTGATAGTCACAGCCCTGTGGGGCCATTTCCACTGTCGTTGTTACACCCCCTTTTTGAGGATGACATAATTGAGGACCTGCAAGCTTAACGTCACCTTTGCAGAGAGTGGCAGAGTCAAGGCCATGACTTAGGAGGCTTCTGGCCCTTCCCACAGTTGAGTTAAAAAAGACAAGACACCCCTAGACAGCATTTGAAATCAGTAAGACTGCAGATGGGCACCAGAGCCAACAGGAAACTGGCATCTACTCATGTTTCTCCTTCTCTCATGGGTCATCAAAGTACAACTCTCAAAAGTGGAACGTCTCACATGCATTTTCCAAAGTCTTATTATTTTTTCCCACTACATATAAGCCCTCCCCCCAGGTACGTTAGCCTGCCAGGTGGTTCCACTCAGAAGGACTCCACAGTTTTCTTAGTCCTTTCACTGCTTTTCCACAAGCAGCCCAAGATCTACTGGGCACCAGCTGTGAGTCAGCTAGACGAACGTTATGCAGAGACCTTCACAAATTCCACCTATACCACAGCCCTAAAATCTATGGTCATTCAGTTGGCAAATATTAATTCCAGAAGATTCATAATGTGAGTGGTACAGATATGAAAAGCAGACAACAGAGGATCTCTGCCTCCACTAGCTGAGTCTAAGGGAGAGCCGTATGGACAGACTCGATCACACTCTGCGTGCCAACCAAGGGCCAGTGGGGTCAGCGGGATCCAGTCCCTGCCGCGTGTTTGGGAGAATTATGGGAAGCTTAATAGAGCTAGAGTTTATGTCGAGACTTGAAGACTAAGTAGAATGTTGCCTAGTAAAGAAAGGAGGAGGTGTCCAGAAGTTTCTAGACAGAAGCACAGGGTATCCGGGGAGCAGAAAACAGCCCAGAGTGGCTGCAGCCATCGGTGTGTAGGGAAGAATTCCAAATATGAAACTAGACAGATGGTCAAGAGCAAGTCACCCTCGGGATTGAAGGCAAGGACACAGTCCTATCTTGATGAGTGAATCTATGCCAGGCCCATCCTCAATGCCCCACCCCTGTCCAAAACCCCGAAATGGGTCCCACGGTATCCAAGACAGAGACTCGCGTGAATGGAAGCTCAGAAATTGACTCGTACAAATGTAACTATTTTCTGTCTCCCGGATTGTTCCTTCATAATCCGAGGTGCCCAATCCTTTGCTGTATTTTAGGCCAGGAAGGCACAGGGAAAATGTTCTGTGAACCTGAAGGAGAGACCCACTGTCACGGCAGAGCAAACCGAACGTGGCTACATGAAGCGGAATGGCTGCTTTGCCCTCCGTTTATCAAGGTCTTTGGAGATGCCAATTGGCAGGATGCCAACGGCCCCTTCTGAGTGGTGTTCTGGGGACCTCTCAGGCCACAGTTCCGTGAGCACTGGTCCTTTCCCTCTGCCCATCTGTCATTGCCCGACCTGCCACCACCACCCCCCCAGGCGCTCCCCTGCTCTCGCCCTGCAGAGAGAGGAGAAGTCTGCAGTTAGGTGAATTTTCTTCACTGACATCCTCATCCTTCGGAGGTCTTGGGAAGAGTCTGCAGAGATAAAAAGAGAAGAAATTAATCTATTCCCAAGAGAGGGCCTGCCTCAGCTGGCTGACAGCTTAATCTCCCCGGGCTTCCCAAACATTCCTTTTATTTTAATGCGCTAGCTTTTTATAAAGTACTGTTGAAAAGAAACAGAATTTTGGATAATTGGGCAGTAGCAGCATCTTTTAAAGCAAAATGGATACAGTCTATGAATGGGATCTGTAATAAACACCATAGGAGACAGGCCTTAGTTTTTAGCAACAAGAAGCATTTAGCCCTCTATCCTCTCCTTAGCTACATTCTCACTTCTTGGCTTTTTCCCCCTGCATGGATTTTGATGTCAAAAGGAAAAGGAGGCATTGCTCACGTATGCATACCCGTCCCTCCATGGATCATCTCTGGGGCCCCAGGACCAGCTAAATGTTGGGGGTTATTGTTGGAGCCACCCAGCTCGTCCCTGGCACCGTCCTCTTCACCACAGCCCGTTGTCCCCTCTCTCTTCTCAGAACATCTCAGAAGTGATTGCTCGGTGATTTTCCATGCCCCACCCATTTGGCCTTCAATACTGCATTCCCCCGCCCCCCTGCCCCCCCCCACTGGCCTGCATCTGTTGTCCCAAGATTAAAAACTCTTGAAGGCAACAGCTATGTCTCTATACTATCCAGCCACATGTTTGACTCTCAGAAGGTTGTGTTAATTTTCCATTGCTGCATAACAAATTACTACAAACTCAGCTGTTTAAGAAAGCACCTAGGCCAGGCGCAGTGGCTCATGCTTGTAATCCCAGCAATTTGAGAGGCCGAGGCAGGAGGATCGTCTGAGGCCAGGAGTTTGAGACCAGCCTGGGCAACATAGCAAGATCCTGTTCCTACAAAAATAAAAATTAAAAAACTAGCCAGGTGTAGTGGCACACGCCTATAGGCCCAGATACTCGGGAGGCTAAGGCGGGAGGATCGCTTGAGCACAGGGGTTTGAGGCTGCAGTCAGCTGTGATTGAGCCACTGCACTCCAGCCTGGGCAACAGAGTGAGACCCCTGTCTGTAAAAATAAAACAAAAACAAAGAAAAAAACAGCACCTACTTATAAACTCACAGCTGAGACTGAGGTCCCTGTGACCTTGTGGGCGGCCAGCTGGGTCACTCTCAGCTCCTAGAGGCTCCTGTTTGGTCCTATGTGTGACCCCGCCATTTCGGGCTAGGAAGTCTACAGCAAAACCTGCTCATGCTCTCAATCCCTCCAACTTCCCCTTTTGTCATCCGCTGGATGAAACGCTCTGCTTTTAATGGATTTGTGATTAGATTAGGCCCACCCAGGTAATCGCCCTCTGATGAACTCTAAATCAACTGATTAGTGACTTTAATGACATCTGCAAAATCCCTTTTTGCCACGGAAGGAAACACAATCAGTGTGTTCCTAGACCCTGGGATTAGGACAGGGAATCTCGAGAGTGGGAGCATTTCAGGATTCTTCCTACCGCGAGGGTCTCAGAGTATATGCAAGAGCAGGAAGCGTTGAGGTGGGAGGCTCTGCACCCATGCAGTTTCTGTCCACCCTCCCTGGCGTGAAAAATCCTGACCTGGCCTCCTGGCCTGCTGACAACTGCGTAGACCTGACGGGGCACCGTGGTCCCCACTGGGCACCTCTTGCACACAGCAGAGGGAGGCACAGGCCTCCCACACCGAAGCCGGTCACCTCCCACACCACAGCTCGTCACCTCCCACACTGCAGCTGGTCACCTCCAGCAAGTCCAGGGCTTATCTAATAATGCAGAGGGCCCTCAGCCCCACTCAGAGACTACCCTGGGACAGAGATGGGTCCTTGTCTTCCGGCTTTAAAAGACACCATTTCTCCTTCCCTAACTTCATCCCCTGGAGCCTAGATGCTAGACTGGACCAGGGCCCTTGCTTGATAGTAAATCTTTCCCATTCACCTCTCAATCCTTGATTTCTTAGCCTTTTTTTTTTTTTTTTTTTTTTTGAGACAGAGTCTCACTTTGTTGCCCAGGCTAGAGTGAGTGCCGTGGAGTCAGCCTAGCTCACAGCAACCTCAAACTCATGGGCTCAAGCGATCCTCCTGCCTCAGCCTCCCGAGTAGCTGGGACTACAGGCATGCGCCACCATGCCCGGCTAATTTTTTTTTATATATATATATACATATATTAGTTGGCCAATTAATTTCTTTCTATTTATAGTAGAGACGGGGTCTCGCTCTTGCTCAGGCTAGTTTCGAACCCCTGACCTTGAGCAATCCGCCTGCCTCGGCCTCCCAGAGTGATTTCTTAGCCTTTTTGTTTTATTTTTTGTTTGTTGACCAGAGGTCTCTCTGCTCTCTGATCTCGTTGTACCTGTTGTTGTGTACCCTCTCCTGTGTCCATGATTCCATCCCTCTGCCTCTCTGGTTATAGGATGGATCATTCATTCCTGAGTTCGTTCATTCATCCTTGAGAATATAAAGATAACTGTGAATAGGATAAATATTTTTCCTAGGCTGTGGAAGAACTTGTGTTCAAGGAAGATCTGGAGCATTTCATGGGGGGGGGTAAGTTTCTTGAGCCCAGAAATGTCTTTAAAAATCGGCGCCCGGGAGCACAAGCTACTGTCAAATGGAATCATTCAGACGCCAGGTCTGCCAATCCGAAAAGTGCTGGCATTCCTTTCTTTTGTGAAATACAACATTCGCATTGTTTTCCACTAAAAGAGACACTTAAATTTGCTTCCCACCAGGTCTGAAGCTGGTGCCTAATGTGGCTGAAAATGTTATTGAGCCCAGGGAGGAGATCCAATGCCCTCGGGCTGCGGGGCTGAATGGCCGCCTTGTTTCCAAGGGCCTTCTCCTTTGTCTGCCCGGGATCTCGGATGACATGTTTGGACACAAAGCCTCTTAGGTAGAAATTACTACATTTGCAGGCCTTCCTAATTTGGAGCTAGGTTTATTATTTCAAAGTCTTTTTTTTCAAGATTAGACTTCAGTGAAGTCTTGCAGCTAAGTAGCAACCCTCATTTGAAAATATGTTTTATTATAATGTTCTTTACTGTTCTTGATCATCTCTCTTTCTCTCTCTCTTTTAAGATTTCCTCTTTGAAAGAGAGCCAGTCTGCCCTGAAATTTTCCAATGAGGATTTGACTTTCTTCCCACCAAGGTCATTTTCTTAACCTTGCCGAGATAGTTATCATTATAAGATTAAAACCTTTCTGTGTGAAGAAAGCAGAAAGCTGAAGGGGCATAGAAAGTCAGAATCTTTGTGGAATTGGAGGAAAGAGAGGCCCTTTTCTCCCTGACTCCTGTTCTGAGACCAGTAGATTGTTTCCTTAGCCAAAGGGGCAGGTCTGGGCCAAGGGACCCAGGACCTTCCTATCTGGGAGACAGTCTGTGTCCCCCACTCACTAACTGTACTCGTTATGTTTTATTATTTTCTGTGTTCTTGATGCTCTGGCATCTGGGGCCTCCCTGACCCCAGAGAGCCTGCCCTTCCTGGGGGAGGTTGGCCAACATCTAGAGATTGCAAACTAACTGCCCTGGGAGTGCACCTTCCATTTGCAAACCAACCTGTCCAGATCCATAGTCCAAGCCACCTTCTGTTTCTGGCTCTTACACGCCCTCCAGGTACCAGGTGCTCCAGAGCCTGCAGATATTATTTGACACGCCAATCCTAAACCTGTCTACCCTGCTTACCCTGCCCCACCCATTCCTTCCGGTAAAAATCACAATAAAGTCCCTCATGCATGCTCTCCCTGGGCTGCTTCGGGCTTCTGACTGAGCCTGGTATTGGCCCATATGCTACTGAGTGGCGTCCCAAGCCTCCTGTTTTTAGGAGGCTTGAGTGAGCAACTGTCTTCTCAATGGCAGTCACCTGCTGATCTGTTGGCCTCATCATACCCCAATAATAATGAAACCTACATGGTCACACACAACTCTGCTCTCAAACACACTCCCAGCAAGGGAGGAAGAAAGAGAAGCGAGACTAAAACCTATGGCTACCAACTCTAAACAGAGCAAGTGTCACAAGTGTCTTCTTCCATCTTCTCAATTTCCCAGATATTAGGTTTGTTGTCACCGTCAGTGTTAGCAACCTCAGCATACAATTTGTTTGCATTCCTTACTAAGTTGAGAACTTTCATCTTTTCACTTAAAGGAAGCACTTGAGGGCTGCTCTTTGGCACATCCGAACTGCCAGCATCACTGCTCTCGTGCTTTGGGGCCATAATGAAGTAAAATAAGGGTGACTTGAACACAGCACTGCAGTCCCACTACAGCCGATCTGGTAACAGAGACAGCTCCTAGGTGGCTCACCGGCGCGGGGACTCCGGACAAAGGGGCCTCACACCTGCGCATGAGATTTCAGCACACTATCAAAATGGCACACAACTTAGAATTTAGGAATTGCTTATTTCTGAAATTATCCATTTAATACTTTTGGATCTCAGTTCACCAAGGGAAACTAAAACCACAGGAAGCAAAACCATGGATAAGGGTGGCGTGCTGTAAACCGTGGCCACAAAGGATGACAGAATTCACAACTGGCCACATGACGTAGCCATTTCTCCACAAAGGACCTGAGTGTTCTTTGCAAATGTAAAACTTTTGTGTTTCCATATATATATATTTTGTTGTTGTTGTTGTTTTTAAACAGGGTCTCGCTCTGTCTCCCGGGCTAGAGTGCAGTGGCATGATCATAGCTCACAGTAACCTCATACTCCTGGGCTCAGGCAATCCCTCCTGCCTCGGCCTCCTGAGTAGCTGGGACTACAGACGTGTACCCGCATGCCTGGCTAATTTTTCTATATTTTGTAGAGACAGGGTCTTGCTCTTGCTCAGGCTGGTCTCAAACTCCTGACCTCAAGTGATCCTCCACCCTTGGCCTCCCAGAGTGCTAGGATTACAGGCGTGAGCCACTGTGCCCGGCCCTGTGTTTCCCTTTTGGTGATCATCTAAAAAAAGTTAATATCCATGTCTTCTGGATCATCTGGCCGAATACCACACAGCTCAAGGTCGACCACAGGATGCCTGTGTTCTCGTTCTGTCTCAGAATTCCATTTGCATGCAACTGTTGAGCTACTAGAAGCTCGGGCTCCCTTGTGACTGTGCCTTTTCTTCTCCAACCCTGAGCACTCAACAGAATGCAGGATTGCAAAGCCAGCTCTTCCACGTGACGTATGTATTTGGTGAGGGATGCCTCTCCACACTGCAGGCTTTTATCTTTTTCATCTTTGGGAAGAGGGCAGTTGACTTGTAATTTATGAACTTGTAATGAAAGCAAAAGTGTTTGGAGAAAAGCAGTAAGCTGGAAATTATGAATGGTGTAATTTGCAATAGAAATAGGCAATTTAGAATAAAGAGCAGAAAACCATACCTAATTTATGCACAAGGATAGAATGCATACTGAAATTAAGGCAAGAATGATACTTAAAGATTAGGCCAAAAAAAAAAAATTGGACAGAACAAGAAGAGGAGTGTGGTGGCAATGTCAACAGATACCTAGTGGACATATTGGCTCATGGCCACCAAGCTGTACAAGTTAGAAAAAGTAAAATC